CCAGAGGAAAGTTGGACCTTTTTCCACATCATCGCTGGATCTTCGGAGGAAAACTGCGCCTTCTACAGGAGCACTGCTTCAACAGAACCACATCTGTCATCCAGGAGGACTGCAGCCACCATTTATAGGGACTGCTACCAACACACTGACTGACAGGGTGTCAGGTTGTATTTCTGACTGTGTTGGTGGTTGTTTCTTTTATATTATTGCATGTATTTTATTTTTTTTCTCTTTTCTCCTATTAAATTGTATTACTGACTTGGAGTCTCGCACTGGTTTTACTTTCAAACCAACACACATGCCTGAGAGTCCACGTTTGATTTTTGCCCTGCAACTGGATTTATCTCCCTTTCCATGGATCTCCTCATGAGCAACATCACTTCAACAAGCTGCCCTCCTTCCCTCTGCTCACTAGACACTGGTGTCTAGAACAGTGTAAGAACACACTAGGAGCTCCTGCCGAGGGGCTGGGGTTGGGTTAAATGGTACCAGATGTGCTGTCAGACACATCCAGAGAGCTGGGACCTCTCCAGTTCTTGTCTCTGCCAGAGGACTAGCACCAGTGCTCAGCTTGGAGCCAAGCATGCTGGCAAGGGAAGCAAGCTAGTACACTGCACATAGCTGCTTAGACAGGCTGTTTGGCCCTGGCCATCGGCCTCATGCTGAGAGGATGGATGTGCAAGAAGAGGCTCTCTGGAGCTTCATATTTCCCTAAGGAATAGTTACTGTCTAATCAAAGCGGAAAATTAAGGAATAAGAGTCAGATAATGCTGTTGAGTTGATCCCTCTTGTGTCCTACACAGAGATCACCAACATGGGGCATGGTCAAAAGCCAGCATTTTCACCAAACACAGAACCTGAGGGCACCAAATATACCTAGCTGCAGAGTAGGCCCTCCTGCACAGCATGCAGTCTGACTGCAGCTCCCACAGTTGTAAGGATACTGTGGTTTTTTTTAATACGAGTTTTTATTTAAGTTATTTTTAAAAGCTATTTTAATAGCTTTTTTAAAAAAAGCTATTAAAGTCCAGGAAGCATACAGGTATCATTGTGGGTTTTTTTAAAGATAAGAGAGTTATTTTCTGAAGTCCTCCAGCAGTGTGGTCACATACTGCTGCCCTGTGCGTGCAAATGCCAGCTGCTCTCATCAGACCACACACTGACCACAGTATTGATATCTGCAAGATTAGGAAAAGCTCAGAAGATGACCAAGATAATTACAGCGCAATGGCAGTGTGTGTTTTTTGTTAGGGATGACCAGTTAGGGCACAGCATCACTGAACAGTAATTGTTTCCTGGCTGGAGGCAGTCTTGGGCAGGTGTCCAAGTGGGCCCTATGGGCCAGAAGACACAAAGCTCTGGCTAGGAGATGTGCCTGCCTTGTCCCCAGCAAGCTGGTGAGACTTCAGCAAGCAAGGTGAAGAAGCGGAAGGAGAGACTACATCCCCTGTCTGCAGAAGACAGCCTGGAAGTGCTGCCACAAAGAAATGCATGTTTTCAGCTCCAGATCACAGGTGTCAGGGTGTATAAAAAACTTTAAACCAACCAAATAGTCTTCTTTGGGGGTACAACAGCCTAGTCAGCCCTAGTACTCCCTATTTTCTAAGGCTGTTGAGGACCATTTCATCCCAACCTGATGCCAGTTCACACTGTGACTTTTTTTCCCTGGCACCCTGGCTTTTGTCCCATCAGCCTGGATTCCTTTCACAAAAAAAACCATTAACTCCACAAAAGCAGCTGCACCAGCACATTCATGTGTTCTTTGGGGAAAACAGAGGATCAGCTACTTACTAATTAAAAATGCACTTGATCCAACAAAGCCCAAGGCTTCAGGACAACAGAGACTTCTGAGCCTGCTCTGCAATCAAGCAGGGTTATCAGTAAGGCTTTCAAGAGAAGAGATCCTCCACTGCTCTTGCCACCTGTACCACAAATATCTGACTTGAGCAGCAGCTCTTGGGAGGAGAAAGAAAAGGTTGAGTGCCCTGGGGCCAGGGAAAGGTTGCTTCATCTCAGGAGGTCATAGGGGAGGGCTGGGAAGGAGAGACAGTGATCCTGGATCCTGGGGCATTTTGCAGGCCCGAACTAATCCCCCCCTGCTGTGAGTCAGAGTGAGAGCCTGGGGGATGCTGTCACAGGATGAAAGCAGCACAGAAAGGGGCAATGCAATGACTAAACCTGCAGCACCACCCCGCTCTCCCCTTACTTGGGAGTGCTATAACAGGCAAGCAACAATGCTAAGTTTCTGCAAACTCAGGTCCTTCTGACTCTGGGAAGAGCTATGGGCAGGTAACAGCCATGAAACTGCAGGTGGAAATGAGGATGCATGGACAGACCATTATTCCTCAGGAAACTTTCTTTGGGCACTGGCACAACTCCATGACACACCCCAGGATGGTGCAGCTGGTGCCTGGGGAGCCACCATTGCTCCAGACGCTGGGTCCTCACTGCCGTGTCCCAACCCAGGCTCTGCAGAAGCAGCACCTTGCCCAGAACAACCCTATCAGAACTGGGTTCATGAGGCTCAGAACTGCAGCCATTCAGAGGAAGCACAGCAACCCTCTGCTTGGCATCCAAGAATGACATAAGTCAGCCCTGCAAACTCAGGTAAAGATAAGCCAACCCAGCAGCTCACAGGATCTGTCTCACTTCCCCCTGTTTCAACATTTACAGCATTTTCTGAGCTGATTCAACTCAGTAAGCACCAGAAAATGCTACAGGGTTCAGGGGTGTAGACATCACACGCTTTTGCCACAACACTACAGGCTGTATGCTGGCAGGACACTGAGATTTTCACCTTGTCAAATCCCTTGGCTCCTCCATGCAGGCTGTTGGGCCCATTGTTGAGGAACAGCTGATACTGCTTCCCATCCAGGTTGAACCTCCCGTTCGCAATCCTGTTGGCAACACGGCCCACGACAGCACCAAAGAATGGATGCTTCCTCATGTAACCTGGCCGGAGAAACAGCACATGGTTAAACAGAACCATTGGAACAGGAGGGGTGGTCTCCAGGAGTGCTTATGGATTCAGAGGTGCCTCTCTGCTTCGCTCCAGGACTAAATAGGTGACTGCCGTCCCAGCCCCAGCGTTTCACAGGACACACAACTCGTTAGTCATGTGCATCTTTGATTAACACAGCCTGATGGGATCTTGTATTCTTCGAAGATTCAAAGAAAATATCTCTGTCATGGCTAGTTAAGGAATGACTCAGAGCTGCCCCAACAGAGTGGCACACTGCCACCAGTGTCCCTGTTCCACATCCATCACAGAGCCCAGGAAAGGCAGCAGGAACTCTATCTCTTCAGCCCATGATTTGGAGGGGGAGGGGGCCTTACAAGCAGGTCACAATAAACCAGTGGCAATAAACCAGTAAATGCTGGTTAAATTGCCTGATTGTGGGTTTTAATTTTTTTTCCCCCAAGAAACATATTAAGACCCACCTTCTAAAGTGTCAAATCCTAGGACAACATCTGAAAACTGCCCATCCCTGTCTTTTGTCTCCAGAGTGCTGATGATGCATCCAAAAGACAGGATCTCCACTCTCACGCTGTCCGACTGTAAGACGAACTTCTCCACCTCTCCGCCTCCCTCCTCCAGGGGCATCCGCCCGAACGCCTCTCTCCGCACCGTTGTCATCGCTCCCTAAAACCCGGCCACCGGCACCTCCGGCAGGAGCCGCAACTCTGCCCGGGAAAGTCTCTCAGGACGAGGAAGCAATGGCGGCGGGATTGGAGTGTCCTCAGCTCCAAAGGGCAGCCGGAACAACCTTAGGCCGCTTCCCGCTCGGGGCGGAGCCGCGCCGTGCCCGGAGGAGCGGAGCTCCAAGCGCCCCGGGGCTGTCACCGAGGGGCAGCAGGCCCCGAGAGCTGCCGGGGGCAGCGGGAAGGATGCCGAGGGGAGGGAGCATCGCTGCAGGGGCCGAAGTATCGCCGCCAGCAGCTCCTGTCGCCCACTTCCATCACACCGATAGGACTTTCAAGGCCCGTGCAAAGCGTGGCACGACAAAATGCTGTTTTGTCCCCTTGTTCCCTCCATTAGCCCCTCCACAAGAGGCACAAGATAGTGCCTGCTGATGGTGCTCACGGCATTTGCTGGCAGGGGTGCTGTTATTATCAAAGCTGTGGCTCTGAGCCAGACTCAATTAAAAAGCATTATCTTTTGAAATACCGACTTCTGCCACTCTTTGCGGGTATTTTCAGTCTGCAGGGAAAACCCCGGCAACATTTAAGTAATGTATGTGCACATTTTTGACCTCTCTTGGCAAGGCTCAAGTGCAAGGCACAAGAGCACCTCACTACAATTTGATATGGTTGTATTCCTATGAGGGCCCATTTTTAAAATTTTTTCAAAGAAACAATAAAAACCTCAATGAGTCAACCAGAGATTGGTAAATATTAATTTCTAACACAGCCATCATCTTTTGACAAGACCAACTACAAATTCCAAGACAACACAGAAACAAAACCTCCCACCCGGGGGTGGGCAGAGGTGGTTTGGAAATCTGCATTTCTTTGATAGTGATGGCAGTTCCTGTGTTTCCTTCTGCACCTTCACAACCCGTGCTCTCTACCCAGAAACAACATTTGAAGCTAACATACCTTTTTTTCTGCTCATCAGTATCACCTCCCGTATGAGACAGGATAAGGAGTAGCCCAAATTTTGGAGCGAGGAGGATCCGGGTGGATGAGAGGTCAGTCTCATTTATAACTGATTCATGGAATGTTTTCATGCTCAGAGCATTCCCAGAAGTTTGCTCCTTAGCACCTCAGCTCCCTCAACAACTCTCTCTTAATGTACTTCTCCAGATAGAAGAAACATTTCTGCTCTGCAAAGACAAGATTTCATTAAGCTGTGGAGTTTTTAAAACAAGAGGACCTACCATTTTGGTTTACTTCTCTTATTCACAACAGAGAAGGTCCAGCTCCAACTCTTTATCTGAGGTGACAGTCATGAACGCTGATTTTCTCACCTCCCCTCACAGATACAAGACCGCTCAAGCCCCAGTGGCCATCTAAGGACGTGTGGTTGCAAAAGCCATGCCAGAGACAAATCTGTTTGTGAACCAGTCACATGATTTTAAAGCTGGCAGATAAACTAGAAAAGAGATCAGATTGCATTAGCCTGAATCCTGCAGAGACCAGTAAGGAGCAATATCAGCTTCAGGATCTGAGCAAGGTATTCCAAGAGTCCTGCTTCAAGAGTTTGAGGATTTCTCATGGCTCATCTTTGCATGCATCCTGCCCCTCTGCTGCTGGTGACTGTGAGAGGTGGACAAGGGGGAGGGCAGGATACAAGCAAGTCATGTTCAACATCTCACCATACTGGATTTTCTTTTCAGTCTTTCCTATTTTTAAGAAAGTGGGGTTTTGGGGCCTTGTTCGCTGTGGCACTGAGTTTTACTTAGACTGATGGTCAAATGCAAGCTCCTTTCATTTTCTCATCTTTCTTTCCAGAAGAAAACTGCAGCAATGGGTGTGAACACACTTGGCATTGGCAGCAGGGCACTTCCACAGGCAGGGAGCGCTCAGAAGATCTTGTTATTCATCTTTGAGACTATGGTTTCAGTTCTCTGCCTTGCAGCTCCACACAGCAGCTGGACAGTGCACTAGCTCTCTACTTATTTGCCCTCTCTCACTGAAAATACAGCAGTCTTTCCCAAGCCAAAATGCAGAATGCTTGTGAGGAACAAGGATTTATCTGCTCTGTCACAGCAGGCATAGAAAAAATGTGACATGAAGGCAGATTATGTGCCTGGTCCCACTGGTCCCAGCTCCTAGGCACTAGGTGTGCTGGTTTGAAAGCGAAACCAGTGAGACACTCTAAGTCAAAAATACAATTTAATAGGAAAAAAAAGAGAAAAAATAAAATACATGCAATAGTACAAAAGAAAACCACTGACAGAGTCAGAATACAACCTGACACCCCACTAGTTAGGGTGGTGGTAGCAGTCCAGATGAAATGGTCTTGTTGAAGTAGTGATCCTGTAGAAAGGTCTGGTAGCTCTTGTCCTCTGGAAACCAGTGGGTAAGGGCTGCCTTGGTGTTCCAAATCTGTTTTTATCTAGGTAGGAAATGTTTGGCTCCTCCCCCTGTGTGGAGCATTTCACAATGGGATGATGTAATTTTATCACTCATGCAGTGAGACTCAATGGCCCATTAGCAGAAGATATCTCCCTGGAGGAAGGATGGGTAGTGGAAAAGATAAAGAACACTTCGACACCTGGTTTAACAGCTGGTGATAGAATACCTACTTTGGGCACATTTTTACATTGTAGCCCAGGACACCAGGCAAGATATTTCTTAATAGTACGAAAGGCAAACTGGGAAGTCAGTTTGTGAGTGGTCCTGTCTTTCCCCTACGACAAAGCTGGTAACAAGGCACACTGTGAAAAATAATTTTTTTTGTTGTTTATTTTGGTTTGTTTGTTTTGTTATTGGGGTTTTTGTTTGTCTTTTGAGAGGGGGGCATTAACATACAGTCAACTCCTATTACAAAATAAAGTCGTTATGAGAAAAATTATAGAAGACAATTTATTTCCCTGGGATCAGAAGCTCAGAAATTCCAAGTGCCTGCAGGGCAGCTACCATTTTGCACAACAGAAAAGAAGCATTGGATTTTATACATGCTTTTGTTATTTTTGTAGGAATACTTTATTTTGTCAATATATTTTTCAAAATACATCCCCCCGAGGCTTTTTTTAACCCAATGGTTTTCTTTAATCCAAAGTACAGTACTTTGCTTAAAAGGCTATGGTGAACCAAAACTCTGTCTCTATGTGATCTTTTCTTATTTGGTTGTAAGGCACTTCTGTAATAAATTACATCACCACATTTTCTTCCTTCATTTTGTCTTTATGTTAAATCCAGCTGTGATTTTTCAGTTTAGTCTGGACATGGAGCAAGACTTGAGGGCTCACTGATTAAGAAATTCATTTTAAAGGGCAATTCAGGTTTCTGAAGGGATGTGTTGTCCTCTGTTCTGAGTTACCCAGGTCTATAACCTCCATTTTCATCACAGCTGCCTTCTGCAATGGAGCAGAAGAGTGATGGTAATACTTCTCACCATCCTTGAGACAGGTGACATGTGTGTGTCCTGTGAGGAAACTTTGGACAATACTCCTGGACCAGGTTGCTTGGACCAGATTTCTCGTTTTGGGGAACCCAGAGTGTTTGTCTGGCACTATGAAGTGGTGCAGCTTTGCAGGCAGAGGCCAGGAGCTCTTAAGCTGTTATTACACCAGTGGCATTTTAATTCGAACATGACAGAGACACTCCAAATGCTGTAATACTTAAGCAATGGCCAATGGTTACAGTTTGCTGTTGCTCAAGAAACTTCCTTGTTCAGTAATAGCAGCAGTGATTTGCCCAGCACTGCAGCTGGAGATGTGGCCTGTGGGGGACTGGTTGCTGCACAGACACAGAAAAGAACGAAGACATTGCTTCTTACACCCTCCAGCATTACAATGCTGCAATTAAATCCCTGTTCCCAACACTCTCTTTATAAGCCTGAGGGGATGAACTGGCACGAGAAGCCTGCAGGGAGTTGGAATCAGCGCACAGAACAAAAGCAGAGACGTTCCCCCACCATTTTATTGTCTGTTTGTTGAATGTATCTTCAGCTCTGCTGGGAACTTCCCAGCATATAGGCTTAAAATGGAGCCTCTGCTTTTTTTTTTCTTCATCTCTTCAGGGGCAAATATACCGAGCCATTGATTAGGTTATTTTGGGATCGTGGCACGGCACAATTCCTTGCTGTTATTCTGGCAGTCATTTCTCAGAAGCCTGTTACACACATTTTATAGAGCTCTTGAAAACACAGAGCTACCCGAGAACATTTTACACAGCACGTTTCTGATATGCCTTTGTGTGCAAGTTGTTTGTGTCTCGGCAGCAGCCAAAGAGCCATTCGGATGTGTTGGTTGCTATAGTAATTACTTTTCTTGGGAACTAAAATAATAGCTTACAGCTCCTGCAGCTTGCTGCCGTGTAAGCTGCCTTGAAGCAGAGACACTTCCACTTTGTTTTGGAGGGGGTTGGGGACTCTCAAGTATGTCGAGAGACAGACTTTCCTCCCTATGCTTGTGCAGCTAATTTTGAATTTAACTTTTGCAGAGGATGTGCCGCAGGTCTGAAGGCTCAAAAATAAAAGTAGCTTATGAAACAATAGAACAGCTTTGCAGCTGTGTTTTCTGATGGGATGAAGACTTGGATTTGCTTTCCATTTACTGTTACTGAAAGCTGGTAGGAGAGGGACTGAGGCTCATGATGAGACTGATTTTCGGTGCTAAGGACCCTACAAAACACTGGGTGGGGGCTCAAAGGAGCTTCAAATATGCCTTAGCAAGCCAAGCAAGAACGTGTCAAGGAGGGCAGCTCTGCATCGTTCAATGTGAGGCAACTCCTGTATTGACCTCCATCTCTGGAGGGGGCAAGGGAGTCTCACAGTGGACAAAACAGCCTTTCAGAGCAATGCAATAGCTGGCAGATGCCACCTCCTCCCTTCCGTCTGCAGGCACAGAACATTTCTGAGTGACATTTTAAACTGCAGTTCTGGATGTCTGCTTGAAAGAACACAGTGCAGCAGCATTTCCCAGCAGTAGGACAAGCCCATGCTCATGGCTCTGGGAAGGTCTTTCACTTCCTTTGGGCTCCTGGACTGACAAACTAGGGGTTTCTGTGCAGCTTGCAGCCAGGTGGGCTGGCACAACATGTCACTTCTGGATCTGCCAAAGAAGAAGAGAGGCAGGGGCAAGTGGCACAAAAAGTGATAAACCAGATTACCCTCCTGCATCATGAAGCAGGTGCAGGCTGACTGCAGGTCAGATTCTTGACTCACAGGGATTGACCTATATAAGGGTCCCAGCACCAGCAACAAGTATCAGTTTAGTTTTGCAGTTAGAGGTCAGCAAAAGGTGGGGAGGATATAAAAAAAGGGTCAGAGGAGGGAGCAGGAGGAGCTAGGATGAAAGCAGAGAGAAAACAAATAGGGAAAGCATTTTACCTCCCAGTGTTGTCCTAGAAAATTTATTCTCAGATGTACACACGGCTGCATTGACAATCGGCAGCGAGATGCCAAAGGAAGATTAGAGCATCATCTGCTAAAGGCTGCGAAGGCAAAACAGTTCCTGTTCGAGCAACAGCTACACAGAGATGCAGGGAGGAGGGTATCTGGGGAAACCACAGGGCAAAACTGGGCCTTCATGTGTGAGGGGGATGTGCTTGGCTTGCAGGCAGCAGGTGATAAGAACTTCCCACGTGTAGATGTGCAGATCTACCCCCCATCCCCTCCCCAATTTAGGCATAGCATACCCACAGGTTTTGTGCCCGCACAGCTCTGCAGCTGAAGCACAGTGCTGTACCAATCGAGCTCGAGCAGCGGGGACCTACATGAGCATCCTCAGTCCCCACAGGCAATGCTAGATAAAGGACCCTTTGCCATGCCCACCTGTTTCTTCTGTTTGAGGCTTGAATTTAACAATACTGCTGACACTAAAGCTGGGTTTCCTATGGCCTTTTTATAAACCTCTCAGGCTGTTTTCTGCTTTTGTATCAGAAAATTTAGCTTCACCTTTAGTCCTGGTGGATTGTGGCATACCAAGAACTTAAAATTGTCACTGAAGCATAGCAGTAGAAACAATATTTAAGATGCAAAGTCCGAAATGCAAGGGGGGAAAAAGAGTATTTATCTGGCAAGATGCTTTAGGAAACAAAAAAGTAACTCAAAGGTGTGTGAAGATAAAATTTCACAATCAGCCCAGTGTATTACTTGATTCTGTAGATTATTGTCTTTGAAACATATCACCTGTATTCACAGTGACCAATACCTGCACTTTTAGCACAGTAACAAAATTAATTTCTTTACTCACAATGGGTCAGGTGTGGGAGAATCTTGGCTTTTCTTAAACAGGAAATCTGCAGCTGTTGTGGGGACTTCAAATCATAATTGAAAACACGATCCAGCTATGAGATACAGAATCAAGTTACCACAAAGTGAACAAAATAATTCAGACTGATCTAACCACAAAAATATGACTTCTGATTTTTAAGCCATGGTTTAAGGGAGGAACAGGGGTAATTCATGACTTTTGGTTTCTACTGGCCTACAGAAAAATTAATGAGAGTATTTCTGGACCACTAATTTTTTCTTTAATTTGGGAGTAAATTTTGTTATTAATTATTGGATATTTGGCATTTGCAATGAGCTGCTAGCAACTTAGAACATGTACTTTAGGAAGCCCTGTTATATTAAGAGCAAAAGCTGCAGCTACGTTAAAAATTCAGGGAGGCTGCAAAAACTTTTCTCTACTGGAGAAACTGTTTGTGCTAGACAAGTATTCTTGCTGGCATAATAATTATTTATTCTCAGCGGCAACTCTTCTCCAGCAAAGATACTGTAAGATGAAAAAAAGTCTCAAAAGTTTGCTCTCCCATATATCATAAAAAGGACTTATCTTACATCACCATATGGCAGGTAGCCTGTCTAAATATGCGGCAGCAGCTGGACAATGTATGAATACTCCTGCAGTGTGAAAAGCTGAAGTGTCACCCAAGTAAGTGTGTCAATGGCACCTTAGGGACATGCTTCATCAAGTGCAACTTCCTAGCCAAGTCACTGGAGCTCTGAAGGGGCAGCAAAGATGCTCCACAGCCCTTATTTAATGTCTTGGGGTGACTGTATGATGCCTATATCCCCAAATAGTCTGTTCTGCTGGTGTTGAATATTAAATTCTGCAACTTTAAGACTGGTTCCAGGAGTGAAAGGGCAGGGGGGGGAAAGAAGAAGTGCAGAGTTTGTTATCAGAGACTGCACGGGCTCCCCCACATTCCTGCTCTCAGACTGTGTTGTCTGCGGTGGGCAGTGAGAGAGAGCTCTCCTTTGCTCTTGGTTAGTTTTTTGGCTAGCTGAGGCAGAGAAGCCCCCTGGATTGGTTTTTTCCCCGTTTTTTTCTGTTTTCCTGGAACTGTTTGAACCTGCTTTGGACTGAAAACCCAGAAGAGCACCAGGAGCTCACACCTGTGGCCCACCAGGCCTGGCCTGGGCCGCGGCATTTCCCAGCACTGGAGGGACTGAGAACAGACTGAGGGAGCCGGGCAGCCCATGGAAAGAACTCTTCTAAATCTGCCATCTCCTTGGAGCGGCAAGAGGTTTTGCTGTTTGATATTGTTCATTGTTGCGCTGGGAGGTGTGTTGCCTGTTGAATAAACAGTTTTCTTTTTTCCATTTCTCTCCAATTTTTTTTCCCTTTTACCAGAGGGACCTCATTCAGAGGTTTCCTCCCAAATTTGCCCTAAACCAGGACAAATACATTTGGCGCCCAACGTGGGGCTCCATATGGCTGCTTTCCACTTCCAGTTCATCCCCACAATGCGGCAGGAACCATCAGTGAAAAGAGCATAGCGTGTTTCATCTGCTGGCAGTTGGTTATACAGTGGGGCTTCTTTGGCCTGGGTTACTTGTTCCTGTTCCTCTTCATCGGCAAGACCGAAGTTTTCACCTTCCGGCCAGTTGGTAAATATCTCCAAAATCCCAGGGCGATTCGAGTTTCCAATACGGGTGTGTTGTGTGATGAGGGCAATCCATTTGCTCCATGTGGCGTCAGTGGCATGGTGGGTCGGAGGAACCTTTGCTTTGAACATCCACCCCAGCACTGGCAGTCGAGGTGCCAGGAGGAGTTGTGTTTCTGTGCCAATCACAAGGCAGCTTGAACCCCTTCATAGGTGGCCAAGATCTCCTTCTCTGTGGGAGTGTAGTTGGCCTCAGACCCTCTGTAACTTTGGCTCCAGAATCCCAGAGGTCGCCCTCGAGTCTCCCCAGGCACCTTCTGCCACAGGCTCCAGGACAGACCATGGTTCCCGGCAGTAGAATAGAGCACATTCTTCACCTCTGGTCCCGTCCTGACTGGGCCAAGGGCTACTGCATGAGCAATCTCTTGCTTGATCTGGGCGAAGGCTTGCTGCTGCTCAGGGCACCAGTGGAAATTGTTCTTCTTGCGGGTGACCAGGTAAAGAAGGCTCACAATCTGGCTGTACTCAGGAATGTGCATTCTCCAAAAACCTATGGCACCTAGGAAAGCTTGTGTTTCCTTCTTGCTGGTTGGTGGAGACATTGCAGTGATCTTATTGATGATCTCAGTGGGAATCTGGCGCCGTCCATCTTGCCACTTCACTCCCAGGAACTGGATCTCTCGGGCAGGTCCTTTGACTTTGCTTTTCTTGATGGCAAAACCAGAGGAGAATCTGGATGATTTTCTTTCCTTTCTCAAATATTTCTGCTGCTGTGTTCCCCCACACGATGATATCATCGATGTACTGCAGATGTTCTGGAGCCTCACCCTTTTCCAGTGCAGCCTGGATCAGCCCATGGCAAATGGTGGGGCTGTGTTTCCACCCCTAGGGCAGTCGGTTCCACGTGTACTGCACACCCCTCCAGGTGAAAGCAAACTGAGGCCTGCACTCTGCTGCCAGAGGAATGGAGAAAAATGCATTGGCGATGTCAATGGTGGCATACCACTTGGCTGCCTTGGACTCCAGCTCATACTGGAGTTCCAGCATGTCCGGCAC